AACAACGTGTAATACTGACCCAAACAGTTAAACAATATTGTTAGCTCATAACTGAGAAATTAAAATCTGAGAATTCCAACTTTACTAAAATCAATTAGGGTTCTTGGTTGCAAACCCGAGCAGTTGACTCTAGCAGACTTAAGCAGAAAGGGAATATGGAGTAGCTCCCAGAATTGATGGAAATTTGGGGAACTAGGTTAGGAAATGGGTGGAAACCAGTGTGCTGGGAGCACACCATAGGTTGGCTGCTGGGAAGGCGGTGTTAGGTGATTCTGGCATTGTAACTAGTCACTGGATACCAGCTCTGCTGTCCCTGCCACTTGATATGAAGCCCTCTCTGTGTCAAAGTTCTTCCCTTCCGTACAGAACAAATGGGGTTCACTGGCTCCCACTGTAACCAGCCAGATGACCATGCTCCGAGGTATACTCCCAGGAGGATACACTGAGATTTTGTCTTGTTGCTATGCTTCAGGGCCAGGGAGGGAGAGGATATAAGGGGCCTTTCCTGCAAGATTCAGGTGATGATCCCTGTATCTGAGAGGTGTGCTGGACAGGACAACTGCATTAGATGTCCACTGTGGTACCTTCTCTTCAGCATCCACAGGATGTGAGTTGAGAACACATCCAATGAGTTACCTGGCTTTTATTGCCCCTTATCTGGACTGACCTTGGTTAATAATGGATACCTGGGGACACTAACCCACAACGCTACAACAGAAATCCATAGAAGCCTTCAAATAGCGCCAAGTCGAGGTTTGAAATTTTTCTTCAGTTTTTTGAGCTTGAGAAATGCTGAGTGTGTTCTTCCCTTTTGGTTTTCTAAAACCAGGTCTCTGGTTTTAATTATAAATTTAATTATAAATACTTGACACTGTCTTCTTGAGCTGCCCTTTGAAATGTTCTTTTCAGCTCTTTTACCTCTTCATTTCCTCCATTTACTTTAGCATCTCTATGCTAGAGAGCAAGTGTTAGCATGTCTTCTGAACTCTATTTTGGTCTTTTCCTTCTTTCTTGTCTTCATAATGACCTTTTGCTTTCTTTGTGAATGATGTTCTTGATGTTATCCCACAACTCTTCTGGTCTTTGGTCATTAGTGTCTAATGCATCAGGTGTGTTCTTGAGATGGTCTCTAAATTCAGTTGAGAAATGTTCAAGTCATATTTTGGCACTCGTGTACTTGCTTTAAGTACCTCACCTTCAGCCTGAACTTGCATATGGTCTGTTCCAAGTCTGCCCCTGGCCTTGCTTTGGCATTCCCTGGTACAGTCAGTGTTTTTCTCCAATATAGTAACTCAAATGGAATCAGTTCTTCTTTGGTCTTCCATATTCATTGACCCACTTGACGTAGTTAGGTTGGAATTAAACTTCATTTCTGGAGATTGAATTGCATGACTGAATTTCAAACATTATTTTCATGTGTCATGAAATGTTGTAATTCTTTTTTTTTTTTTTAACCATTGGGGAAAAAAAATATAAACCATTCATTCTTAAGTCGTGGGTTGTGCGAACAGGCAACAAAAGGCCAGATTTGGCTCATGGGCTGACGTTTGCTGACTTTTACCCTAGCTTGTTCGCTATGAGTTGGAACTGACTCTAAGGCAACAGGTTTGATTGATCCTTTGCCCTGGTGACACAGTGGTCAAGCACTTGGCTGCTACCTGAAGGATTGGCAGTTTGAACCCATAAAGCAGCTCCACTGAGAACAGCTGTGATGATCTATCTGCTTCTGTAAAGTTTGGTGCTGGTAGTTAAGTGCTGTCGAGTCGGTTCTGACCCATAGCAACCCTGTACAGGGTTTCCGAGGCTGTAAATCTTTACGGGACCAGAAAACCTCATGTTTCTTCCGCAGAACAGCCGGTAGTTTCGAACTGCTGACCTTGGGTTTGCAGCCCGATTCATAACCACTATGCTACCAGAGCTCCTTTACAGCCTGAGAAACCCTTTAGCACAGCCCTACTCTGTGACATTGGATCTTTATGAGTCAGAATGGATTCCACCCAGCCACCCTGCTCTGGCTTCCAAACATGCTACTTGTTGACTCCATGGGTGTTTCTTTGACATCAAACATTTATAAATCATTTTGGTAACAGAATTCCTTGTACTCTACTCTCATTTTGCAAAGATTGGATTTGCAGACTTGCTACTGCCAAACCAATTTTGTACGGAACACATAGAAGCCATCGTGAGTGGCTAAGTGTATTTATATTAAAATGTGAAATTCTTGGGCAGACTCTGTCTATTTCGTTCAAGATTAAAGGATAAATGCAGAGATTTGTGGTAGCCTCAGAAGCTATTTTGTTTTAAAATGATGCCAATAAAAAATGGAAGTTCTTTGTGTGTTTGAACAGTGTAGGTCATTGCTAGCTTTTATGTGCTTTTGCTGCTGTGTTATGGAAGCTGGACTTCATGTGATGGAAACAGTCCTGAACTTGGTGACAAAAGACCAAGGTTTGAGTTTCCTCTTGTTAGTTTTAATGTGATCTTGGGTAAACTGACTTCATCAATGAGAGTCTTGGCTTCTTTATCAGGAAAACGGAATTAATAATCTTGTCTCACAGGGGTTTTTGTGTTTCTTGAGTTTTTTAGCTGTTTATAAGGAACCCTGGTGGCTCAGTGGGCTAAGTATTGGGCTGCTAATCACAAGATTGGTGGTTCAAACCCACCAGCTACTCCATAGGAGAACTGTGAGGCTGTCTGTTCTCCTAAAAGACTTAAAATCCTGAGAAACTCTAAGGAGCAATTCTACTCTGTCTTCTGTGGTTGCAATGAGTCAGAATAAACTTGATGTGCTGCCTTTGCTTTGGGGTTTTACTCTTTATTATGGAAATGTTTGACCAAAAAGAAAATAGAATAATAATAATGAATCTCAATGAATTTTCAACAATTATATGCATTTCGCATAACTTTCATCTTTACCCCACCTAGTTTTCCCCTCCTTATTAGAGAATTTTAAAGGAGCCTCGTTGGCACTGTAGGAAAACACTGGGCTTTTAACCTCAAGGTTGACAGTTCAGACCCACCAGTTGTTCTGTGGGAGAAGGAGGAAGTTTTCTGCTCCTGTAAAAATGTATAGCCTCGGAAACCCTACATAGGGCCACTATGAGTCAGAACTGACTGGACGACATGATAGTGGATCAGAGTATTTCAAAGCAAATTTAATTGTAATGTAACTTCACCTGAAAAGATTGCAACTTGATTTAACAGCACCATAATTCCAATGCCACATACAACAAAATTACAGTAATGTTTGAATAACGTCTAATATTTGGTGGAAACTCTATGCAGGGTCGTTATGGATCAGAACTGACTCAATAACACTTAACAAGCCTAGCAATAACAAATATCTAGTTAGTGTTCAGAGTTCCCTCAAAAATGATTAGGTGAAAATATATTCCATTTGTGGAAGAAGCTAATTACTTGTCCTGTAGAATTTTTCATGTTCTGGATTTGCCTGATGGTAGGTGGTCTTTACCCTTGGAGAGTCAATGAATGTTTCTGCATGTATTCACTGAAATACTTTAGAAAACTCTCTCCTGTCAACAATTCGGTTGCCATAAAACACATACCATGCGATAAACCAGCTGCTCCTCAGAAACCCTGTATAGAGTCAAGTGCCATGGGCTGCCAAAAGAACCAATAGATCTGTGTTGGAGAAAGCACAGCCAGAATGCTCCTGGGAGGCGAGGATGGCCAAACTTCATCTCTCATCCTTCAGATATACTGTCAGGAGGGACCAGTCACTGGAGAAGGAGATCATGTTTGGTAAGGTGGAGGGTCAGAGAAAAAAAGGAAGACCACCAGTGAGATGGATTGGCCAAGTGGAAGCATTGTTGGACTCAAGCGTGGCAACAATAGTGAGGCTGGCCCAGGATTGGGCAGTGTTTCATTCTGCTGTGCATAAGGTCGCTATGAGTCAATACCGACTCAATGGCACTTAATAACAACAGCAATGCAGTAAAGATATAGCAAGTGCCTGGTTGTTCCTTTTCTTTGTGTTTTGTGACAATGGTGACTTCTCTTGTCAGCTTTTAAACATGAACATTCAAGGTTGTTGGTTGTGGGGTTGGTAATGGTGGCATTTCATTTGTTATGTGAAATATTTATATTTAAAATTTTCACATGTTTCAGTCCGTCACATTGTTCTTCCGGGCGGCTTCTATGTCTTATTATTGCAGGAGGGGGTGATCTCCTGATTTTTCATATGGTTTCTCAGCCTCACTTTCTATGTATCTTGCCCCAGGCCTGAATCAGGCAATTTTTCCAGAAGTCCTAATTTCTTTTTAGTAGAAAATGGTATATAGAGATCACAGTCTGGATGCTACAGGCTCAAATTGGAAACTCTATACAGGGTTGCTATGGAACTAGCTGGACGGTACTTAACAACAAAAACAACATACAGGGTTGCTTTACGTCAGAACTGACTGAATGGCACTTAATATCAACAACATAATATATTAAAAACATTAACAGTAGTGGGAATCCTGGTGTGGCACTGCAGGATAAGCACTGGACTACTAACTGCAAAATCAGTGGTTCAAACTCACCAACTGTTCCTCAGAAACCCTATACAGGGTTGCTAAGAGTCAGAATTGAATCCACAGCACCTAACAACAACAGTTTGAGTTTTAAGGAGCCCTGCTTCTGTGTAGAGATTAAGCACATGACTGCAGACCTAAAGGTCAATTACAAAAGTTCGAATTATAGTCTTCACATTCGAGTCTAATACCACACTAAATAAAAATGGGCAATTTCATATTTTTCCTACTCAATTTATTTCATTTAGCAATTTTTGATGAGTGATTCAAACAGGTAGTACTTTATCTTATGGGTTTATAGGTAGATGTAGATATCAGTACTTTACAGTATTTTCTACTATGTTTTATTACAGTGGGAATACAGAACTTCTTTCAATTTATGAATCATAAAATCACCTAAGCAGTTAACTCAGTGCTGGGTAACTGATTTACATTTTCCTGAAGCCGGAATTCAACTACTCCATAATGACGACAGTCACAGTGATCACGGAAGTGTCTCCAGGGGGCAAGCGAGAAGAGCATTCGGCCTTGTATGAGTCCACATCAGCTCACATTATTGAAGAAATAGAATATGTAAGAAAGGTACGTAGATGCTAGACATCATCTGAAAACAAATTCTAATATGGACAGGTCAGTTTGAACCACAAGGTAGGCGGTTCAAACTCACCGGCTGCTCCGTGGAACCCCATACTGGGTCGCTATGAGTCGGAACCGACTCAACAACACAGAACCACCGCCAACACAATATGGACTGGTTGGGGTTTTTTTTTACCCTCTTTATACACACATGTGAGGGAGAACTAACCTCCTTTGATTGAAAGATTGTCTTTGTAGCTGAGAGTGGGGTGCAAGTTTAATTATTTCTCTTGTGAGTAAGAAACTCTGCTCCTACACCTGGAGTAAGATGATGTTTTTCACTCAGTGAACTAGAAAGCTGGGCTCGGAGGGTTCAGAACACCCATCAGCACTGAGATTGTCGACACTATTCACTACTGGACTACCAGCTGTTTTATGGCCCTTCCCAGTTGCTTCATAAGTGTTGATACTTTGTTCTGAAGTAGATAGTTTACATTTCCTGCTGTTTTTCTGTCTCTGGTTACTGTGCTCCTCTTCACAGTTCAGGGCAGTTACTGACAATGAATACGTATGGGTAGGTTACTTGATTAGAAAATGTGAAATCTTCTGAGAATCCAAATTGATAATGGGTAAGAAAATTCTTTTTACTGTTTCTTAGGACAAATGGGTGGTTGGTATCTTGTCTGGATGAATGAATTAATCCATCTTTGAGTGTCTTGCAATTTTATAAATCCATTAAGCCATGGAGCCTGTATTTTATAAATAAGTTTGTATTATCTCCTCTTAATAATGATTCTGTACTAATTATTTTATAAAGAAGTTTGTATTATCTCCTCTTAGTAATGATTCTGTACTAATTACTAAATAGCCATTATTTTGTGCTAATTACTAGATAGAAATTATTCTGTAGTAATGACTAGGTAACAGTTATTTTGTAGTATTTACTTGATAGTAATTGTTTTATACTAATTACTAAATAGTAAATAAGTACTAAATTACTACATAGACACAATGAGATAATATTATATACTTGTTAGTAAGCAGTAATTATAGCATAGATTGTTATATATTAATTGAGCATGTTTTAAGTTTGACTAAGAAAAAGTTATAAAGACTAAGTAATTGTTTTTTGTAATCCAAACAATATTAGTGTAAATGGAAGTTAGGTTGATGGTAATTAGTTCAATCTGAAGGTTGGTGTAAATGTATTACTTTCTAGATAAATCAGGTGGTTAGTAGTTACTTTAGAGAAATAGTCGGTGACATTGAATTCCTCTGAAATTTATTTTTCCTTCCAGATTCGAACTACTCTGGAGAAGATTCGAAATCAAATGTTTAAAGATGAAGTAGGACAAAACAATACAGATAACACACTCGAGGCAAAGGTAATGGATTCATCCACCTTTACTACCCTATTGCTTCCTAAAGACACATAAAACCATAGAGACTTTATTTGACTTTTTTGGTAATGGGATGGTCTTTGAAGTATTAGATAATGAGGGGTAAAATATTTTGGCAGTGTCCAAAGGTATTCATGGCCTGGTGTGTAAAATGTTTAAACACAACACTCATCATTAGGATCAGACTGCAATGACCAGACCACACTTGAGTATTTTAAATAGGGTTTACTTGCCTAAGGAGTCCCTGGCTTGTGCAAACAGTTAATATATGTGGCTACTAATCAAGAGGTTGGAGGTTCAAGTGCGTATAGAGTCACTTTGGAAACAAACAAACAAACAAACAAGAACAACTTATTGATCTACGTCCAAAAAATCAGTTATTGAAGAGCTAAGGAGCACAGGTCTACTCTGACATATATGGAATCACCACGAGTCAGGGTTAAGCTGACAGTAACTGGTCGACTTATCTAAAATGCATGGGAAGATGTTGGCCCAACCAGGATGCATAACATTACCGTTTCCGAATGCCAGAGATAGTTCTTTTAGGCTCTGCTAGATCACACCAGTGGGCGCACAACTGAGGTTGTTAGATCTAAGTGAATGAAGACCTTGTCAGATAATCAGTAAACTTAAATGTGCCACCTCCACCCCACTCCAAGGCCAGTCTTCTATGCTCAAGGCCAAGCAATCTGCACTTGGCCTTGTCTGTATCATGCCAATTAAACCTTCTTTGAGCCAAGTACATACAGTGTTATCTGCTCTACAGTGTGAATGCAGAGTGCACAAGCGCATAGGATGCAAACAGAAACAGTGCTCCTTTATCCTCCTCAGCTTCCCAAGGTAGTCCAGTCTACTCCAGTTACTTTGTTAAATCCAGTGCTCTGGGACTAGAAAAGAAGGTCACTTGTAGGAATGATGGAGAAGGTAAACAATTCAGTTTGGGATGTTTACCTGTGTTGAGATGTCAGTTAGACCTCCAAGGGGAGGTTTCTCATGGGCAGCTAGATAAGGGAGAGAGTTTCTTCTTTAGAGATCCAAGCTATAAGGGGGGTCTTTGGGAATTAGAGATGGAGTTTAAAGCTGTGAAACAGGAGGAGATCATTGAGAAATTCAGTGTGGTTGAAACAAGAGGGTTTTCTATCTGAGGATTAAGAGCTGTGGTTCCCAGTGTTTAGAGTTTTAGGAGAAGAATCAGCTTGAATAGAGAAGAATCAGTTTGAATAGAGCGGCCCATGAGGTATAGGAGGTAAGGAGAGAGTGGACACTCGGAAGGCAAGTGAGGGAAGGAAGGGTTTCAGAAAGATGGGCAGAGCTGCTCTATTGCATGTTGTAAATGGGCCAGGTAAATTGAAGATTGAAAATTGACCATTGGGAAGTACAAAATGGAGGATGTTGGTGGCCTTGATGAGTAGAGGTGGTTTGTGTTACCAGGACACTGCCTTAGCCATCTCTAGCCATGGAAGGTCAGCAGATGAAGTGAGCATCAACATATCACACCTCTTCCTCTCAGTGTCAAGGTACTGCCCCTGTAGGGATTTGCAAAACTGAGCCGTGGCCTTGCTGCTCTAAGTATAGTCTACATTTTCATCAGTATTCAAATCATCAGAAGCTTGTTAGAAATGCACATCTACTGATTCGGAATATGCATTTTAACATGTGCTCTTTGGAAACATTACTCTCCCAATAATCTCCCTTCTACGGTAGTCTTTCCATCAATCAACAAAAAAGAAGATAAAAATTCCTACTTGCGGGAGACAGATGAGGCTTTCTGCTCCCGTAAAGATTTATAGCCTCGGAAACCCTGTACAG